ACAAGTGAGATGTGCTGAATTGCGACTTACATGTCATGTACCTGCTGTTGTTTATTCCTTTTTGTCCTGTGTTTAATTATTTTCGTTATTTAGTGCGTTCCTTCTGTTCTCGTTGGTAGAGTTCTGATCATTTTAGTCTCTTTCTAGAACATCTTTCTTTAGTCTCTGTAGGGTTGGCTTTGTCCTCATGAAATTCTTTAGTTGTTCTTTGTCATGGAAGTATTTCCCTTCTCCATGAAATTTGAAAGAGAGTTTTGCAGGGTATAGTAGTCTGGGCTGGAATTTGTTTTCATAGAGAACTTGAAGTACTCTGCTCCATGTTCTTCTTGCCTTCATGGTTTTTGAAGTGAAGTCGGCCATAATTCTGATGGGTTTTCCTTTGATTGTCATCTTGTCTTAGTTACTCTTCTCTCGTTCCTGGGACAAGTACCTGACACTCAAAATGATGGAAGGAAAGGTTTATTTAGCTCACAGTTACCGGAAGTTTCAGTCCATAGTCAGCAGACTCCAAGGCAGAGCAGCACACAGCAGAAAGCAACCTTTCATGGCGGAGGCAAAGAACAAGATCACAAAGGGAGGGGTAGCAGCAGCTCAAGCAGCTAACTTCTCTTCCTTCCTTACATTGTAATGCAAATTACCTGCCCCAAGCAGGTGCAGCAACCACACCCACAGTAATCAATCACAAACCCCAGAAGCCACTCCAAGACTACATGAGGCTTTTGGGGGACACCTGGACACAAACCTTAACACATCTGCTTCTTTTCTCTAGCGGTTTTCAGTATATTTTTCTTGTGCTGTTGACTATTATATGTCTCCATATGTTTTTAATTGCCTGAAGTTATTTGGCATTCTGTGTGGTTTGGTTACCTGAATGTCAGGTTGTTTCCTCATATTTGGGAAGTTTTCTGCTATTACTTCTGCCCATATTTTTGTAATGTCATTTGTATTGACTTATTCTTTCTCATAGATACCTATTAGTCTCACATTGTTCATCTTTGCATTGTCTTGCAGGTGATCAATTATTTTTTCTTGCATCCTTGTTGGTTTTAAGAGATCCTTTCTTATCTTTTCAATAGCTGCACCAGAATCTTCAAGATCTGAAACTGTGTCTTCACTTTCACTCAAACGGTTTTGCAGGCTTGTGATTGAGATTTTATTTTCATCTATATCTCCTTGTCTCTGCTTCAAGCAGTCTGTTTTTTTTTCCTGTATTGCTCATTCAAAGAATCTGACATTTTACTAATCTCTATTTTTTTATTAATGTCTTCTTTGGAAGCAGTTATTAATTCTTTTCCTACTGAATTTTTTTCAAGGCAGGTTTCCTCCATTTTTTTCTGTATTTGATTATTTACTTCAGATGCTATGTATTCAGAAATTTGTTGTTTTTTCCAGAAATTAATTCTGTTCTGTGTTTCTCTACTCCTTTCTGCTGGTGCTTCTTTACTTCTGACTCTATTAATTCATACATTTAAGCTGAGCTAGTGTCCTTTGCACTTGTTCTGATTGGGCTCAAGGCCTGAGATTGCATTTTGCTCCTTCTCTGTCATTTTGAATAGTAGTGACCTCTGACCTTTGGTGTAGAACTTTGGTGCAGTTATATCCTTAGCACGTACTGAAATTCTAGTGCAGATCTATTAAGTTTGAGTTTATCCAGTTATTGCCTTGCTTGGGTCTTGCTGTTGTGTTCAGCTCCTTCCTGCTGCAGCCCTTGGAAGTGAACCTGTGGTGCCCCTCTCTTGTGCCCCTTGCCCAGGGGCTTAGGGTTATGCAGAAGCTCTCCAACACACTAGCTGGGCCTGGTCTTGGAATGGATCTTGCGGTCCAGAGAGTGTCACTGAAGTTCTTGCTCACTAGGGGAGCTTGTGGTCAGTGTCTCTGAAGGCCTTCCTGTCAGGAGGTGGCCTGGGCTTGATCTGGGGAGATCCAACCAGTGCAGGGGATCCCATGAGCTGGCCTCCGCACTCCCTGTGCCTGAGCTTGGGCTGAATGGGAAGGGTGGAGGTTTCCTGATAGAGAGGGCTGGAACTTCTCTATCAGGAAACCTGAGAACCAGGCAGAAGGTCTTGCTCATGAGGCTGTCCTGTTCTTGATCCAGGGAGATCCAACCAGTGCAGTAGAGCACAGGAGCTCCCCACCACCACACTCGTGGGGCCTGAGCTTGGGCTGAGTGGGAGGGGTGGAGGTTTCCCAAGAGAGCCAGAAAGCGGGGCAGAAAGGGTCCTGAGAATGCCATGCAAAGAACTATCATTTCAGAAACTTCCGGTGTGTGACTTCCAAGTTCTTGTATGTGTTTGTCTCATGGATTTGCTCTGGGAGGGATGATGGTTTGAGATTGCATTTTGCTCCTGCATTTTGGTATTTTTGAAGCTTCCAATAATCACCCAGACTTAGGAGTTGTGTGAGTGCAGTTGGGCATGCATCTTTAAGGTTCGCATTATAGTGTGGAGTAGGTTAGGGCTCTCCAAGTCTCTCACTGCTAGTGGGGGCAACTGGCCAATGATCAACAAAGCTTCAGTGCAGATGGGGATGTTACCTGGATTTGTGAAGATCCCACCAACTTCCCAGAGTCCTCCTAATTTCTTAAATGTTTGGCCCAGGTGCCAGGAAAATTCTTTGTGCCTTTGTGTGATGGGCAAATATGGCTACTAAGAGTACTCTTAAGTTCTTAAAATGTGGGACCATTGCCAGCACAAGGTCTGTGCCTATGCTGGTGCCAAGTGGCACATCTCACCAGAGTCCGGCCCACCCAGAGGCTTCCTAAGTTGTTGAATCCAGTCTTCACTTTCTCTTTTTTTTTTCTTTTTCTGTGTATAGGGCATTCATTATCTACAGGATGTTCAGGGCTTCACTACATAGATACAACTCATAGTGATTCTCTTGTTCACAGCTTTCCAAGTGCTGGGATTACAGGTGTGTGTCACCACACCCCATCTGAGTTGCCCTTTCAGCATGCCCTGGGGGCGGGGTTGGTAGGGCATGCCAGGAATTGAACCCTGGCCACTATGATCTGCCTAAGTAGGTGCTTTAGTCTGCTGAGCTATTAGGCTGGCTCCATCTTCAGTTTCATTTAATCAGTTTTGCCAACTCTGAATGTAATTTTTATTTTCCTGAATATCTTTTTCAATGTTTCATTTATTCTATTTTTTTCCTATATTGTTTTGTTGAAGGTTTCTATCACTTTTCTATGGTCCTGTTTTTATCAATGTCTTCTTTTTATATGCTCAGTATTTCTTCCATTATATTTATCATTTCACTCTTTATCTGAGAGATTATTTCTGATCCAATTTGCTCTGTACCCATTTGGTGTTGTTTATTTATTCCAGTTGAAATCATTTCAGAGATTTCAGATGTTTGACTTCCAATTTTTTCTATGCTCCTGTCTCCTGGATTTTTTCTGAGTGGGCTAGGGGCTTGAGATTGCATTTTTCTCCTTCCACTTTTCATTTTCTATTTCCAAAGAACTCTTTATTTTGTGTTCTGTGATTTTTTTGAAGTTTAATAATATTTAAACTATATCATAGTATTATAGCTACTCTATAAAGTTTCTGTGCTTCTGGGATATGTTCTGTATGTCAGAGTTTCTTGGTTTGTGTCTGTCCCAAGATCCTGCCTTTCCTTTTGATTGAGTGTGGTTTATTGGTTTCTTTTTGACACTGTCCCCTATCTTTTGTTATAGGGCTTTGCTGAGGCTATTACCTCAGTGCTTTCCAATATTATTCCCCAGTGGAAAACCTGTGGTTAGGACAGATACGACATCCTAGTTACAGTACTAAAATTAGCAATATTAATATCAATTTAAATGTGGAAATTAAAAAAAATTTAGTAACTAATTGTTTTGTATGTTAGATCATAGGAGCAAAAACTATAGTTATATAACAGAACAAATTGTAAATTCAGACTAGTAGAAATTGACAGTATAATTACCCAAACTATTCTGCGTATATATCTAAATACCTTTTTTCCCTTCTTTCATTTGTCCTTTTCCTCATCCCAGTTTTTCCTATCCATTGAACAACAAAGGCTACCATCAGGAATTCAATCAATAACAAATGCTGGAGCGTATGGGGAAAAAGGAACCCTTCTCCACTGTTGGTGGGAGTGTAGGCTGGTACAACCATTATGGAAATCAGTATGGAGGTTAACCAAAATGCTAGGATCGAAGATCTCATTCAAGCCAGCTATTCCTCTCCTAGGTATTTTTCCAAAAGAATGGAAATCATTAAACCACAGTGGTACATGTGCCCCCATGTTTATAGCAGCAAAATTTGTCATAGCTAAATCTTGTAGACAACCCAAATGCCTATCAACTGAGGAATAGATAATGAAGATGTGGTATTTTTCACATGGGGTTCTATTCAGGTATAAAAACAGATAAATTTGAGGCTTTTGTAGGTAAATGGAAGCACCTAGAAACCATATTGGTATGTAAAATAAATCAGATCCACATGTGCAAACATCATATTAGCTTGCTAGTGTGAGCACTTGAAACAGTAATGAAAATCTAAAAGGTACAACAGATACTGTGAAAGGGAAAGAAATGATTTAGTGGGACTTTTTAAAAATTAACTTAACCTAGCTCATAGATTTAAGAGAGAGAGATAGACGAAGTTCTTCTCTGGAGAAGTTTGTCTGCAATATATAAACATGTCATACAAATGCTTAGAAATCCTTGAAGCAAGAACTCAACAAAGTAGGAAGGATTTTGGATACCATGTAACTATGCTGATATGTGTATGAATGTAGGGAAGTCTGGAGAAGATGGAGTGGAAGAAACTGATATATCTGCCTGTATAGTTTTGAGGAAATGAGTAGATAATTCAGTACCATTTTGATTTTTAGAGTACATCATAATATTTCAGTGAGTTCTCATCATCTATTAAGTCATACAAAATTATGTTGCTACAGTATATACAGGTGCAACCAAGCAGAGATGGAAGACTTACGCATCCAGTGGGCTAGACCTTGTTCTGAATGTTATCTTTACCTTTTATCTTCTCCAGATATGGATCAACTCATAAACAACTTGGAAGTCCAATTTAGTGCAGAAAGTTGCTCAATGCAGGCTTTCAAACAGGTAAGTTATCAAGACAATGAAGTGCCAATATTGAAGTATGATAATGGTGTGAACTTGATAATTATTGCAAAGGTAGAATTCATTTATGTTTTCTTACAACATGTTGGAGATTTAGAATACATAGAGGAAATTTTATTTCAAGGAAGTATCTCAGTGCCTGACTTTAAGGTTCAGCAGACCTTTATCTGATGGTAAAGAAACAAACTCTAAGATCAAGGATAATATGGACAATGTAAAACCCTTGGAAGACAACGGCAACTATTTGTCTAGTACTATCTCAATCTTAGTTATTTTAAAGATTAAATGCACTGTTTAACTTTCACAATAACCCTGTTGAACAGTGTATTTATTATTAAGGTTTTCTAAAGAAACAGCTGATATCTATCATATATGTAAAACTTTCTGTATTAAATTGGACCTCCGAGTTATTTATCAGTTGATTCATGTCTGGAATAGGTAAAAAGAGAAGGTAACTTTTAAAATAATGGAGAGAGAGGGAGGGGAAGGGAGGGGAGAGAGAGAGAGAGAGAGAGAGAGAGAGAGAGAGAGAGAGAGAGATAGATTGATTGATTTTCATAAAGTTGGGTCAAGTAATTATGGAAATGTGCTAAGTCCAAGATTTGATAGATTAGTCCAACAGATCAGAACTCTGGAACAGTTGCAGTTTTGACTCCAAAAGTAGATTGCTGATAAAATTTTCTCTCGCATTATTGGAAATCAGGATTCATTTTTTGTAAACCTTGAACTTACTGGTTGAAGATCATACACATTATGGAGGTAACATCTTTTACTTAAGATCTGTGATAAATGTTAGTTTAATCCAAACAAAAAGAACCAGAAAAAAATCCCACAAGCACAAACACACAGAGAGTATGAGGAGGGTAGGCAGGATGAGAGGAATAAGGACAAGGAGAGAGTAGGAGGAAGAGAAGATGGGAGGAGTACAGTGAGTGTACCTTAGAATAATTTTTTTGTTTTTATTTTTTTTCATAATTTTATTGATAAACAAATAGCAATGAGACAATTTCAAATCAAATCGCTAAGACAGTTTCAATAATTAACACACTGCATACATTCTTCTTAGTGGTTAATTGCTGTACAAGATGCGGACTTGAAATCCTATTTACAAACACCACTAGAACAAATCATTCTATTCATTAAGAGAATGTAACTATATATCTATCATAACCACTTTGAATACACAGATATAAAATGGACATTCATCTGTATACCCTTTTTTTACTAGGATCTGTTATTTGAATATTATAGGTGTGTAAACTCAGCAAAATATTCTAAAAGAGTTCAGTAGCCCATAATAGCATTGGGTCTTCTGTTTAACTGGCAATGTCAGATATTGTTGACCTGAGTCCCCCACAGCTCAATATAACAGCATGGCTTTTCTTCCTATATTTCGTCTTCATACTTTTCTACTGAATGGTTAAGACCAAGGTAAAGCAGGACCTGTGCAACAAGAGTTGTAGCTTTTGGGTGTGATAAGGTCAGTGAAATCCCCTCAGGATTTATCCTGAGATCCTGTACCTCAGATTGTAGAACCTTTGTCAGTGTCAGCCATGTGGATGAGTCACGGCCATTGCTTGGCCAATGTGCTCTCTGTGAAAGCTTGAGAGAGTGTTTTCTCTCCATGTGACTCTCCTTAGGCACATTCTACATCATCGATAACTTTCCTCTTTGGCCCCATAATCTCCTTGATCAGAAAATTTGGGACACTACTGAGTTACATGACGTTGCAGTACAAGTTCTCATATGTCCTGAGTCTTAATTGCGTTTAGAAGGTTAGGGCCAAAATGTTGGCTTTCCTTACAGCCCTCCTTTTTCTCTAATTTTGGTCTGCAAACTTAGGCTGTTAACCATCCAGAAGACAAGCTTATTGTTATTATCAAACAACTTAGACTATTAAGCTTAACCTCACTATCTCTCTGCATTTCAAACATCTTAGGCATAATAAGGAACAGGTATTTTTCATCAAGTATTGATATGTTGAACTTTAAGTCCCTACATAATATGATAAAAAACATTTAAAAATTAGATTATATTTTTAAAATAGGATAAAGAATTCTATACTTCTCATGTTTGCACATAAGTCCAAAACTCTCACCATATACAACCTTGAAGCAGGACAGTCCCACAAAATTCCTTTTCCTGTCTCTTGCTTTCATTCACCACCCCCTTCTTCTTGAACATCCATCTACCCGAGAGACATCATAACAGCAACTGGCATGTCATGACAAGCAGCCCATATACAGAATACCAGAATGACAGGCACTCCAAACATAAAACTACTATTACAAATTACCATCTGCAGTACAGTAGCTTACTTAACAGGTATCATTATATATAGTTAGTCAGGGTGAGAATCTTTCCAATTAACTGCTAGATTAAAAAATTTTCTGGAGATGCTCAGGATCATTGCCTTGCTCGTTTTTTACATATAACTGTATGGCTTGACATTGTCATGTTTTCTAGCTCTTCTCCTTTCCCTCTCTTGATTAGTTAGTCCTTGAGATCCTGCTTTCCTTTTACTTGTATTATACCTTTCTATTTGTATTTTTTCTTTGGAGTTCTTATACTAGGGAGACTATACGATATTTACATATGTGTGTCTGGTTTATTTCACTTATGAGTATATGTTCAAGTGGCATCCACTTCAATGTAAAGGCTTCAAGTTTATTATTCTTAATAGCTGAATAATACTCCATTGTGTAAAGATACCACATCTTTTTCAACCATACCTCATGTGATGGGCATCTTGGTTGTTTCCAAGATTTGGCTATTACAAATTGTGCTGCTATAAACATAGGCACACATATATTCCTGTGATATGATGATTTCAGATCCTCTGGGAAAATTCCCAGTAGAGGAATAGCTGGTTTAAAGGGGATTTCTAGTCCAACTTTTCTAAGGAGTCTCGCTACTGATTTCCATAACGGTTGTACCAGTCTACATTCCCACCAGCAGTGTAGAAGGGTTCCTTTTTCCCCACAGCCTCTCTAACATTTGTTGTTGGGTGATTTCTTTATGATAGCCATTCTTTTTGTGGTGAGATGATATCTCAGTGTGGTTTTAATTTGCATTTCATGAATGCCTCGTGATGTGGAGCATTTTTTCATATATTTATTCGCTTCTTTAATTTCTTCTTCTGAGAAGTGTGTGTTCATCTCGGATGCCTATTTCTGGATTGGGTCTTTGAAGTTTGGGGCCCTAGTGTTTTTTAGTTCCTTATAGATTCTAGAGAGCAGACCCTTGTCTGAGTACTTGTTTCTCATGATTTTTTCCAAATTTGTAGGTTGCTTTTTCACTTTATTGGTAATTTCTTTTGACATGAAAAAAACTTCTCAGTAAGAGCAGTTCCCAGTTGTTAATTCTTTCAACTGTTTGCCGTGCGATTTGATTTCTGTCCATGAACTCTTTGCCTGCCCCTATGTCTTCAAGAGTTCCTCATACCTTCTCTTCCAGGAGATTTAGTGTCTCTGCTTTAATGTTTAGATCTTTAATCCATTTTGACTTTAGTTTAGTGCATGGTCATGGACCTGGGTCAAGTTTGAGTTTTCGGTATGTAGAGAGCCAGTTTTTCCAGCACCATTTGTTAAAGAGGCTATCTTTCTTCCAGTGAGTATGTTTGGCAACTTTGTCAAACATAAGGTGGCTGAGTGTGTTTGTAGGAGCTTCAGTGTCTTCTAACCTATTCTTTTGATCCTCAGGTCTATTTTGATGCCAGTACCATGCTGATTTTATCACAGTAGGCTTGTTGTATAATTTCAAGTCAGGAATTGTAATGCCTCCTGCCTTGTTTTTATTGCCTAGAAGCGCCTTTGATATTCTAGGTCTTTTCCGGTTCCAGATAAATTTAAGGAATGATTTCTCTATGTCTGTGAGATATGTCGGTGGTAGTCTGATAGGGATTGCATTAAATCTGTACAGCAACTTTGGGAGTATGGCCATCTTCACACTGTTGGTTCTTCCTATCCAGGAGCATGGAACATCTTTCCATTTTCTGAAATGCTCTATGATCTCTTTTTTAAGAGTACTATAATTTTCCTTGAAAAGATCTTTGACTTCTTTAGTTAGGTTAATTCCAAGGTATTTCATTTTCCTCGGTGCTATTG